GTGATTCTATTTTGTTGAATTAGTATTGGGTCTTGATGTGGTGGCGGTCAATGACCAATACGTTGAGTAGCCGTCGATACCTTGGGGATAAATGTCAAGGGTCGATGCACAGTTTAAGGCTTTGGGGATAAATGGCAAGGTCGAACGCCAAGCTTCTGTAGATGAGTGTCGGGCCTTGGGGATAAATGACAAGGGTTGATACGATTCGAGGAGTTAGACTTTGAGGACTAATATAATGTGGTGCACAGTTTGAAGCCTTAGGGATAAATGACAAGGTCGAATGCCAAGCCTCTTTAGATGAGTGTCGGGCCTTGGAGATAAATGGCAAGGGCCGATACGACTCGAGGAGTTAGACTTGGAGGACTAACATATTGTGATAAGTTAGGAGTTGCTTGGAGGCCAAGGACCAATACGTTAAGTAGTAGTTGAGGCCTTGGGGATAAATGTCAAGGTCTAACACCGAGCACCGTATCGATGCTTTAGCTACGCGAGGTCAGGGGTCGGTACGACTCAAAGGGTAAGTCTTGGAGTAATCAAGAAAGAGCACTAGTGAGTTAAGATGTGAGGCTGAGTTTGACATGTATGGTACATTTTTAGTTAAAACTTATACATTAACTACTTCTTGAAATATGTTTCTTTTATTTAAGGCTTGAGATTCATGATAAACATGAAGCATGCTGTTTGTGCGTGACCCTCAGATAAGGGCTGCTTACTGAGTACTGTGGTTGTACTCATCCCTCTTTTTTCCCATCAAGTTTTGCAGGTATCGAGCTAGCTTTTGGGATGGTGATGACGAGGAGGAGATTTGACTAGAGAGACCATTTAACGCTGCATCGTTAAGTTTCCATTTGGATAGGATAGTTATAGTTGTTTATTTGTAACTGAGTATGTTTTGAGATTATTAAATTAGGTTGTTAAGTTCCAATTTTTCTTGGAGAATGTGATAGGGCTGATAGTGCACTATTCTTTTGAGAGCATACATTTTATTTAGCTACTTGCACTTTGACGACGTGATCTATTGAGGATAGTTATTAGGATAATACATTTGTTCAAGCTGAACTTGAATTAGTCTTCTCTTTGCTGCTATTCGAGTAAGTTAGTTTTGTGAAGTGGATGGTTTTTGATTAATGCAGATTGCGGTGAAAAGTTTCTATAAGGTTGGATTGTTACTAAATTATTAACTGAGAAGGATTTGAGTTCGTTAGAACTTTGGCATTGTTTGTTTTGTTTAGTGCCAGCTTATGTAAGTGTTATTATTTAGAGTAGCGTAGCAGAAGCGTGATGAGAATTGTCAAAATTTGTATTTTTAGTGGTTTAGTTCTATAGTAGAGTGATACTTTTTAAGTGGCTTTTAGTAACGTTTCCTGTTTGAATGTTGAAAATCCTCGGGCGTTACAGAGCTGTTGAAACACTCCAAAGGAATGTGGTTGAGATTAAATTGGATGACATCCACCTTCATCAAGAACAACAAAGAAGCAACAAGGGGAAGGAGGCGCGTGACAAGGGAATCAAGATTGATGATGGCGTTAAACAAACAGCATCAAGATTGCGCCAAGAAGGCTTCCCACTCCAAGATCCCACCCTAAAAAAAGATCCAGTTTCTTATCCTCCGCTGCACCGGGCCTATTATACCAATCCTGACCATGATTTACCACACGATTATCACGGTATGCATCAAGAACTATTTCCTCCAGTTCGAAAATACCAAGAACCCCGCAGATTTTATAATCCCACCTATAGACAGCATGGCCATAATCGAAACAGAGCCTTGATTATCAACTCTTCAAGTGATGAAGATGATTCTTCATTGGGAGATAAATCGGCATGGCATTCGGTATGATAATCACCATCAAAGAGAACCCACAGACTACAAGATGAAGGTTGATTTACCCACCTTTGATGGGAAACTTGATGGAAAACATCACATTCGGGCGTGGGAGAAAATGAAAAAATTGATGCGGGCTCGGTTTCTACCTATCAACTATGAACAGGTCCTTTATAATCAGAACCAAAACTATCGTCAAGGGACAAGGTCCATTGCGGAGTATAGAGAGAAATTTCATAGGTTAGGGGCATGAACCAATTTAGGTGAAAATGACCAATATCAAGTGGCAAGATTCATCGGTAGCCTCCGAGTGGATATCAAAGAACGTCTACAAATCCAACCCATTGGTTACCTCAATGAAGCCATTGCCACGACTGTCACCATAGAGGAAAAAGTTGCCAATTGCTACAAGAATCAATACCAGCGGCACACCTTCAATGACACGACCAAAAAGGTAACCTCTACAACTAATAAATTGACTAACCAGACCACTACTTCTACTTCTAAGGGAAAGGCAACGAATGATAACAGGCCAAAAAGGCTGGGAATGCTTACAGCCGATCTACATTGGGAAAATGCTTCAGATGTGGTCAAACCGGACATCTATCTAATGATTTCCCACAGCGAAGAGCTATCCACCTCATGGATGAAGTTGAGGAAGACGGCCCGGATCTGGATCAGGAGGAGTGCGACGAGAGATTATTTCTACCTGAAGAAGGAGAACCTTTATCCTGCATTCTCGAAAGAATCTTACTCACACCAAAGATAGAATCCTTTCCTCAACGTCACTGCCTTTTTCAGACCTGCTGCATAATTAATGGAAAGGTATGTAACGTTATAATCGATAGTGGTAGCACGGAAAATGTGGTTTCTAGCAAGTTAGTGACAACCCTAAATTTGAAAACCTCCATGCATCTGATACCATATAAGATTAGCTAGATCAAAAAAGGGGGGTAGGCACTAGTTACAAGTATATCTACTGTGCCACTCTCAATAGGAAACAACTATAAAGACCAAATAATTTGTGATGTTATTGACATGGACATCTATCATGTCCTCCTTGGCGCTGACCTTGACAATTTGACACTCAGGCAACTCATAAAGGACGAGATAATACATATGAATTCTCCTAGATGGGGAAAACAGTAGTTTTGCTGCCTCTGACGGGTTCTCATACCTCGAAACCCAAGGACAAAGCCAGCTCTTTTACTTCACTAAAGGAAAACATCTATTTTCCAAGGATGGTCCAGTCCTTGGTTTGGTCATTAAACATTTTGAAAACAACAATGAACATACTGCAACTGACATAGAGGCAGATATTCAACATCTATTAGACTAATACTCGTCCCTGACAACCCTTCCAACTAATCTCCAACCTATTCGAGACATTCAACACCAAATTGATCTCCTACCCAGGGCAACCCTCCCCAATCTACCCCATTACCGAATGAGCCCCGGTGAATACAAGATCCTCCATAATCAAATACAAGAACTATTAGACAAAGGACATATTCAGCCAAGCCTAAGTCCTTGTGCGGTCTTAGCTTTACTTACACCTAAAAAGAACGGCACTTGGAGAATGTGTGTGGATAGTTGTGCAATTAACAAAATTATAGTCAAGTATAGGTTTCCTATCCCATGAATCAACAATCTATTCGATCAACTAGGCGACACATCTATCTACTCAAAGATAGATCTTAAAAGCGGCTACCATCAAATACAGATTCGGCCAGGGGACAAGTGGAAAACAACATTCAAAACAAACGAAGGTTTGTTCGAGTGGTTGGTAATGCCTTTCGGCTTATCTAACGTTCCAAGCACCTTCATGCGTCTTATGAATCAGGTTTTACTTCCCTTCCTCAATAAGTTTGTCGTTGTTTATTTTGATGACATATTAATCTATAGTAAAACTAAAGACGACCATATGCATCATCTTAGACTAGTTTTTTCCACATTACATGAACATGTGTTAGTTATCAACCTTAAGAAGTGTTTATTCTTAACCATTCAGATTTCATTCTTAGGCTTTGTTATAGGACACCATACAGTGAAAATGGATCCTAAGAAAACACAAGCTATTTCAAATTGGCCTATTCCCACGAGTGTCAAAGACATACAATGTTTTTTAGGAATAGCATCTTTTTATAGGAAATTCATACGTAACTTTAGTACATTGGTTGCACTTTTAACTGATTGTCTAAAGAAGGGAAAATTCTTTTGGGGACCTATTCAAACTGACAGTTTTAAGACCATCCAAAATAAACTAATAGAACATCCTGTCCTTACCATACTAGATTTCTTTAAGCCCTGTGAAGTTAGTGTAGATGCCTCGAATATAGGCATAGGAGCTGTCATATCCCAAAATAACCACCCCATTGAATATTTTAGTGAAAAGTTAAGTCCATCCCACCAAAATTTGAGTACATATGAGCAAGAACTGTATGCCTTAGTTCGTGCCCTTAAGCAATGTGAACACTATCTCCTTAACAAAGAGTTTATCTTGTTCACTAACCATTTTTATTTGAAGTTTTTACACACACATAAAAACATAAGCCGTATGCATGCTCGATGGCTCTCTTTTCTCCAACGATTTGATTTTTATCAAACATAAATCCGGAGTCACCAATAAAGCAGCTGGTGCCCTAAGTAGGAAAGGAACACTTCTAACTATCCTCCAAGGTAAATTGTAGCTTTTGACAGCCTACCAACTACATATGAATCTGACGATGACTTCAAAGACATTTGGCTCGATTGTACTTGGCAATGCAAAAGACTTTCACTTACTAGATGGGTAACTATTTAAGGGGGACCAATTGTACATCCCTCGAACTTCCCTTCGGGAAGCTCTCATTAAAAAATTACATGCAGGTGGCTTAGCTGGTCATTTTGACCGCGACAAAACCTATACCTTGGTGGCCTCTCGGTACTATTGGCCCCAACTACGACGAGATATTCTTAGTTATGTGTCTCGCTATTTTATTAACCAAACGAATGAAGGACAATCCCAAAATACTGGCATAGCGTACATCAGGCTGCCCACTGCTGAAGCATAGGGTATACGTCTCATATCCTCAACTTCTTGAACTGATGAAGGCATGCGATTAATCAGGAAGCAAGCCGTCGAAATAGCATCGATCCAAAAATATTTTGGAACATGCATTTGAAACATTAAGGCCCTTGCTGTTTCGAGAAGATGTCTATTTTTTCTTTCTGCAACTCCATTTTGAGACGGAGTATCGACACAAGAGGATTGGTGAAGAATTCCATATTCACTCAAATAAGAGCCAAGAGCTCCAGAAGAATATTCTTTAGCATTATCACTTCGTAGAACTTTAAGAGAGCCACCAAATTGAGTTCGAATTTCAGCATGAAAGTTACAAAAATGAGAAAGTAACTCAGAACAATGTTTCATTAAATATAACCAAGTTACATGGGAAAAATCATCGACAAAGGTAACAAAGTACCGAAATCCACTTTTGGACTCAATAGGACACAGACCCCAACATCAAAATGAACTAATTCAAAAAAGGTAGTAGCTCGTTTATTGACTCTAGGATACAAACTTAGACGATGAAACTTAGCAAATTGACATGACTCACAATCTAAAGAATGCAAGCTATGAAATTGAGGACGAAGACTCTTGAACATGGAGAGAGATGGATGACCCAAACGACAATGTTCTTCGAAAGGAGTTGGCACTCGAGTGCAAACAATGGCTGTAGGTATTTGTGTATCAATCGTGTAGAGGTCGTTGGATTCACGCCCTTTACCAATAGTCTCCTTCGTCGTAAGATCCTGAAATAGGCAATAACCAGGGAAGAATAAGACACAACAATTGAGATCACGAGTGAGTTTACTAACAGAGATCAAATTAAAAGAAAATTGTGGTAAATTTAAAACAGATGTTAGTGAAAGGGATGTGGAAAGATGAACTGTGCCAGAGCCACGAACAAGAGAAGTTGTGCCATTTGCTATGGTAACATCGGGCAAAGATGCAGATGGGGAGAAATTAGCAAATAAGTTAGGGTTACCTGACATATGATTTGTCGCACCAGAGTCAATGACCCATTTTGATGTGGAGGAAATAAGACATTTACTGGTGTTACCTGACTCAGCGATGGCGGTAATCGGATTAGAGGACGATGCCATCAATGACTCTTGATACTGTTGGAACTTAGCAAATTCTTCCGCAGGAATTGTAACTAACTTGCCAGCATTATCAGGAGTAGATGCAACATGTGCAGACTGTGTTTTCTGACCTTTATTCAATAGCTTTCTACATTCTCGTTTTGTATGACTAGGCTTATGG